GGAGTCAACAACTACGCTGACTTAACAATAAATGCGAACACGAAGAGTTTCCGATCCTTACGAGCGCTCACGAGCATGTCAAGGTTGTTACGAGGCGATCACGAGCATGTTAAGGTTGTTACGAGCGCTCAAGAGCATATAAAGGTTGTTACGAGCGCTCACGAACATGTAAAGGTTGTTACGAGCGCTCACGAGCATGTCAAGGTTGTTATGAGCGCTCACAAGCATGTCAAGGTTGTTACGAGCGCTCACGAGCATGTCAAGGTTGTTATGAGCGCTCACAAGCATGTCAAGGTTGTTACGAGCGCTCACGAGCATTTCAAGGTTGTTACGAGCACTCACGAGCATGTCAAGGTTGTTACGACGCCCTCACGAGCATGTCAAGGTTGTTACGAGCCCTCACGAGCATGTCAAGGTTGTTACGAGCCCTCACGAGCATGTCGAGGTTGTTACGAGCGCTCACGAGCATGTTAAGGTTGTTACGAGCCCTCACGAGCATGTCAAGGTTGTTGCAAGCGCTCACGAGCATGGCAAGGTTGTTACGTTATCTTATTGCTGTAAGTACCAACATTTGGAGCCAAACTTTGTTGTAGACTCTTTCGCAAAGTCGGTAGGCACCACTAGAGACAAAAAAGTATTTTCTCGCCGGAGTGATTTGACATGCTTAGATGGTTTACAATATTCACCTCCTCTGCATTAAGTTGGTCGCATTCCTGATCGAGACGAAGTCTAGGTAAATGAAAATAAGTTAATTAACTATATGAATAAACAATTACTAAATGCACTACTCATTAACATTGTATCATTATCAACTCATTGACATTTGATAGTCACCTTCGCAGCAATTATGTATCGTCACGCAACGTTTCTCCCCGATAGGCGTTGTGTGACGATACAAATAACGGCTGCAAAGGGCAACTCGATAGTGGGAAATATCAAGAAAGGTTACTTAATTTGCAAAAACTTTTAATTTGCTTGTCTGTAGGAGCTATTAATCAGCGATAAGCCAGACCGCTTTTAGACAATCCTCGGTTGACCTCGCAAACAGAAAA